AGCCACATGTGGGGATTGTTGGGGATGCGAAGAGAGTAATTGAGCTGATCAACCGGGAGATCAAGGACAATCCATTCTGCTTGGCTAAGTCGCACCCATGGGTTGAAGCTATCACCAAGAAGGCCAAGGACAATGTTCTTAAGATGGAGGCGCAGCTAGCAAAGGATGTTGTGCCGTTCAACTTCATGACACCATTGCGGATAATCAGAGATGCGATCCTTGCTGAGGGGAGTCCTGCTCCGGTAGTGGTCTCAGAAGGGGCAAACACCATGGATGTTGGCAGGGCTGTGCTTGTGCAGAATGAACCAAGGACAAGACTGGATGCAGGGACATGGGGGACGATGGGCGTTGGATTGGGGTACTGTATTGCAGCTGCAGTAGCTGAACCCGAAAGGCTTGTGGTTGCTGTTGAGGGCGACTCTGCATTTGGATTCAGTGCAATGGAGGTTGAGGTATGAATGCAAACATTCCAGCTTCACTTTGAAAGGCTAATTACTTAAATCACAGTACTTATTTGGTTTATTAGTTGTGTAAACATGTTATTTTCGTCTGCTTTTTTGCTATTGTCATGTTGATGTGAGCTGAAATTAACACTCTTCAGTTTGGAAGAAAAGGCCATGGTCATGTTATGTTGATGTCAATAATAATAACATACTGGCAGAGGCCGTTATCTATTTATATGAACTACTCCATGCTGCTGCTGCTGCCTAGATGTTAATATGACACATAGTAACATGACAAATAGAAAATTAATCTAATGAATGTGCATAGATTGCATGATCCCTGGATAATTACCCAAGGACTTGTGTATGAGTCTTCTTTTGCAGTTGTGCTAGTTCACACTATTACTACAAGTATTCAAGGTAGCAAATGCTTTTATCAACAGAAATGGATTACTGTTCAATTGTTGTCCTCAAATGGGCCCAGTCATCTGTTTTGGCTGATCCAGGAGCAATTGAATTATCCTAGTGGTTCAGCCTCGTCAGGATATATTCTTATAGTGTACATTCAGCAATATAAATATGCCAATATGGATACTTCGTTGCTTTTGCATACTACATCTCCCAGCTCCATACAGTTCACCATATATGAATATTTAATTTTGTAGTATTTATACACCTGTAATCTCAGTGGTGCTTCACAACATGAGCATTTCATATGGAATCACAGAGGAGACCATTCTCATAGATTATACATTTTCCAGCGAGCCTAAAATTTCATTGTTTTATGTGACAGATATCCATCTGTATTGCCAACTGAATGATGGAATCATTTTGCTTTTATGGTGACCTTGTTTTTTTTTAAGATTACTGCACATTATTTTTCTATATGATCTGATGAATGCTAGCCAAAACCATTCCTCGCCCTGGGGCATCTTTTAACTTATCTGCTATCTGCTCAATGAACCGGAATATGTCTATACCCTTACTTATTATTTTATACTTCTACTCATTATAAGGGTTATTGGTGATGCAACTCTGAATTTTAGGTGTTACTTGTTAGAATCTCAATTCTTATAATAGGAGGCAGGAGTATTCTATTTCAATTTTACAATATGTGTATTGTTGTGTACCAATCAAAATAGTAGGAGTAGGATATTCGAACTGCAGATGTTTGGATCAAACAAATGATGGAAGTGTGTAAAGTACTGTATCTAAATCTGATCATTTGCTTGCTTAATTAACCTTGATGGACTAGCTGCACACAGTTACGCCATAACTAGCCATCTAATTAGCCCAGATTTCAGATTTTACTGTGGTTGATATATAGGAAAAGTAGTAAAACTCCATAGATTGTTTGAAAGTCTATGCCTGATTGACTAGGAAGTACCAATCCTCTGTTTAATTTGGTCAACTTTACTAGTTAATTTTCGCTTCATTGTTTCTATGCCATTTTTATTTCTTGCAACTTCTAGTTGTTTCCCTATCAACTTGGATTACATGATCTGTTTTTATTTTCCTTGATTTTCTTGTTTTTCTAGTAACTGGGTCCCTTAAACTATCTTTCCCTAAGCTGGCTGTACCATATGTTTATCATTTCATTTGGCCACATTGTACCAGACAGAGATACCTAATTATTTTCTTTTGTGCCTTACGCTTTACAGACGTTGGTGAGGTACCAGCTGCCTGTCGTTGTAATTGTTTTCAACAACAACGGTGTCTACGGCGGTGACCGGAGAAGCCCTGATGAGATAACCGGACCCTACAAAGATGACCCTGCCCCAACTTCTTTCGTTCCGGCAGCAGGCTACCATAAAATGATGGAAGCTTTCGGAGGGAAAGGTTATCTTGTGGAGACACCAGACGAACTCAAATCTGCCCTTTCAGAATCGTTCCGTGCCAGGAAACCAGCAGTGATTAATGTTATCATTGATCCTTATGCCGGTGCAGAGAGCGGTCGAATGCAGCACAAGAACTGAGCGTGTTTGGTTTGTACCATATTATAGCACAGATGCGACTTACAAACAAGCAACAACCTTGAGATTCGTGTCCGTCGATCAATCCCTTTGTGTCTTACGACCTCGCTTCGTTGTCCTTGGTACAGATGTGGGATGTCTTTAATTGAAAGTCTCCTTTGATGGCATGTAAATGTGTTATGATTGTCTGCATGCCATGATGCAAATGAAAGGATGTTAATGAGTTCTCCAACTTGCGCATGCAAACGAAAGGGATATTAGAGCAACTCCAACAGATGTGCTATCTTTGTTGGCTAGGCTATATTTAGATTTTTACAGCAAAAATGGAGCTCCAACAGACTTGCTATCTAGTTTTCTAAAATGGCAAGTGAGCTATCCCTGAAATTTCGCTAGATATAGAAAGCAAGCCAACGCCGCTCGCCATATGCCGAAATTGGTGGCCACGGTCCTTGCCTGCGCGCGCGCAATTATTCCCGCGCGCAGCAATTTCCTTCCCGCGTGCACGGTGAACTTTCCTGTCGTGGGGATCCCAGGCCCAACCGCTGCTCGATTTGCAATTCCCTAGCGCGCTTCGCTCGATTCGGCGTTTCGTAACTTCGGTCGTCCATCGCCTCCTCCCCTCCCCCGCCCCTGCCGCCGCAGCCGCACCACCGGAGCGCCGGCCCTCCGATGTCGCACTTTCCTCATGGACAAACTCCGCCGTCCGAGCGCCAGGGAGACCCCAACTGCGCCGCCCTATATTCGCTCCCTATTAGCCAGGAATCAAGCGGATGGAAGCAGCTGGACTCACCGGTGCTGCCTTGGTTGGAAAATGTGGCGCAAGGAGGCCAGCGACGACAAGTCCTTCCACCCAACAGTGCCGCCGCTGCTGCATCGAACCCTTTCCTCGACGTGTGCTCCGGTGAGTCTAATTTTCAGTAGGTCTCTCTCAGATGCCGCAGCAGTTTTTCTTTTTTCTTTTGTGTGTGTGGTAGAGGATTGCAGATTTGACCAACCAGTGGTTGGCACCATGTGCCCAAGATCCATTGTTCTTTCCCCAATTTTCCATCGCTAATGTGGAAATCGTAGTAGCGTCAAGGAGCCCCCACTTACTGCAGTAAAGCCATTTACTCTTTGATATCTGAAACATGGATGTACTAGCTGTTACAGACCTTCAGTCTTGAGGTTGAAAGCCATTCATCATCAATAATAGCTTAAGCTGAAGTCTGAACACCTCGCACCAAACAAAGTTCAGTCATAGGCACTCAATTTTGTGCACTTCATTATAATAGATCTTCACAAATGGATGTAGAAAAGGGTAGTTTAGTTGAAAGCAGCAAGGCTACCAACTAAGATCAAACATTTTAGTTGCCTGTATCATGGATGAGTTTCACTTATTTTCAATGTTATCCTAGACGCTGTAATGCTGGAACTTGTGTTTCATAATTACCCCACCATTTTGATGTATAAAAATTCATATTAAATCAACACAAGATAGTAAAACTGAACTGAAGCATACATTTCAGTTTTTTTGTGTATGCAAATCTGAATTAAAGCACAAGAGAGCACAAGATATTATATAAATTTAGATATGTATACTTTGTAGGAAAACTATGGCTGCAGGCTGCACCTGTAATCACTAAAAAAATACAACTAAAATAAAGAGTCATTACCTGGGTTAAAATCAAAATCCTTTCATCCAGCCTTTGCTACTAGTTTTGCAAAATGTCCTACTTGATCCTTAAACTTGATCAACTCCTCATTTACTACTTGATTTTGCTTGTCATAATCACCATGGTAAAATGTTTCAACAGCTGACATCAACCCATCCATGACTAGCTCACTTGCGAAGACAGTAGGATCATTATAACTGTAGTATGGATTCAGAAAATATGCAGCCAACTGCAAAGGTGTGTCAAACATGGTTTTTGGTTGAAAGAAAATTTTCATATTGTTTAATGCCTGACAATCTTTCATATTTAAGTTGCAGTTCTTGTCTTGTCCTTTTTGTATAATTTGAGAAAACTCTGTGTCTTTTTGCTTGTACTTGACAATATGCTGATAACATGTTCAGTTCATCATCTTACATGTTACTTGTGTTCTGTTCATACAGCCCAAATGGATTCAGGGAGATCTTTGACCGACATGATTATGGAGGGCTTCACTCCAGCTACAGTGTTCAACAATATCCCACTTCGTAATGATGTACAAGCACGCGATGAGGTCACTGCTGCGGTGAAAGGAATTCAGAAAAGGTCCAAAAATTTCACTATTAAAGAGGACGAGATGTTGGTGTCAGCATGGCTAAATATGAGTTTGAATCCTGTGCGAGGAGTCAATCAATCAAAAAATACCTATTGAAAAAGAATACACGATTACTTCCACGCACACAAGGATGTTTATTTCGATCGCACACAAAGCTCTTTAATGAGTCGGTGGTATGGTATACAACATGATTGCAACATATTTGCTAGTTGTGTTTCAAAGGTAGAGGCCAGAAATCAGAGTGGTGTATCTGACGATGACAAGGTTAGATGACCTCTTGACATGCCAATTTCTTATATTTTTGCTGAATCTCATGTGTCATCTTTGTTTTCCATTGCAGCAAGCAAATGCATTAACTATGCATAAGAATGATGACCCATTTCATAGGACTTTCCAGTACATACATTGCTGGAAAATTCTCAAAAACCATTCAAAGTGTACACATAGGCGCCAACAAATTGAAGCTCAGAAACCATTCAGCAAAAAGCAAAAGACCACTGCCAGTTCAACTCCTGCTACTGATGCAGCAGAACATGTCACTGGTACTGTAGATGACACACATACTACAATAACCACAGTGGACAGGCCTACTGGGACTAAGAAGGAAAAACAGAAATTAAAGCAGCGTTCCAGCATTGAAGCTTTGAATTATTTATTGGCAAAGAAGAAAGAGGTGGATGCTGAGAAGGAGATGAAGAAAGAAGAGAGGGAGTTGAAGAAACATGAGATGCTCCAAAAAGCCCTTGCTTTGCAGGAAGAAAGGATAAAACTTGACAAAGATAAATTTGATTTTGAGCGGGATCGAGAAGAAGAAAGAATTATCAATGTTGATATGAGCACTATGTCAACCAGACAGTAACAGTTCTACGATGATCAACACAAGAAAATACTTGCAAGACGGCTTGGAAATTGGTAGTACCATGATCTTCATTTTTTAGATTTGGGCATAGTGTGAGACATGTCTAATTTTCTGAAACATTTTAGTTGCCTCTAGTTCACAGCATATCGGATTGATTAATGTTCTTGCATGAACCTTGTTATCTATATTATTCTGTAAAGGAGATGCTTTTGGCGTTTGCACCATCACATATATATGTTAATGCATGAACAATGTATCTGTACATACTGATAGGGGTAGTATCAATGCCGTCCATTGTATCAATGAAAGACAGATCAAATAAAATTGCAGGGCATCCTCACCTAAACACATATTTATTACAGTATCTAATAAATCAAACAAAGAAGGTAGGTCTGGAAACTAATACAGAATGCCTTGATGTTGTGATAGTAAATAAAATTATTCAACAATACTATTTGTATATAAATCTGAAAAATTATGCCACAAGCGCTCGATAAGGTCGGCTTGAAGCTATGTGTGTCTCCTTGTCCTTGATCTTCTTGTAATTCTGCATAAATGCATCGAACTTAGGTGTATTATCGTGTGATACAGTCACATTTTCTCCCACATCATCATATCTGAAATCTTTTTCGTCAACTCCCTCGTCTTCAACAATCATATTGTGCATAATGATACAAGTCGTCATGACAAGTTGAATTGTATCCTCATCCCACACACATGCCGGCGCTCGAACAATGGCAAAGCGAGCTTGTAGAACCCCAAATGCTCGTTCGACATCCTTTCTACAAGCTTCTTGTGCTTTTGCAAAATATTTGTTCTTATTACCCTGTGGCTCGGGTATGGTTTTCACGAATGTGGCCCAAGATGGATATATACCATCTGGTAGATAATAACCCATAGTATAATCATTCCCATTGATGCTATAATTTACCTGTGGCCCTTGACCTTCAACAAGCCTTGCGAATATACGAGATCCTTAAAGAACATTTATATCATTGTGCGAACCTGACATCCCAAAGAATGCATGTCAAATCCAAAGATCTTTAGAAGCAATAGCTTCTAGAATAATTGTAGGCTTCTTTTTATGTCCCCTATACATACTTTGCCATGCAACCGGACAATTCTTCCAGGTCCAGTGCATACAATCAATGGAACCAAGCATGTCAGGAAAACGTCTACTCTCACCAATCGCAAGTAATTCGGCGGTATCATCTTCATTGGGCAACCTCAAGTATTCATGTCCAAATACGTGAACACCAACTCTAACAAACTTTCTAAGACTTTCTAGTGCACTACTCTCCCCAATATGGATGTAGTCATCCATAGCATCAGCTGCTACTCCATAAGCTAACATCCGGAATGCTGCCACCACCTTCTACAAACAAGATAGTTCTAGGGTTCCGACTGCATTCCTCTTCTGCACGAAATAGTCGTCATACTCCTCAACGACATTCATTATGCATATGAACACGTGACGCCGCATTCGAAACCTGTGTCGTCAGATAAAAAAAATTATTCAGACCTCAATGCATACGCTAAACATGAGTCAATAAAATATGAGAAAATTAATCCGCGCCTGAAATAGCTCGGTCCATATGTAGGATTATATGAGAAATAATCTTCATACAGTCTACAGTGTCCTGACTGTCTATCATGATTCAAAACACGATATCCCTCTACCTAACCACGATGGCATGCTGGATTGACAATGTCCGATACTACTATATGCGCTGCCGCAGTATATACCTCATCGTCGTCATCCGACGATGACGACGACGACGACGTCAGCTCATTAACTACATCTTCAAACTCCATTATGTACCTTTCATTAGATTGATCGAACACCTACACAATGATTAAAAAATTAAGATGCCCGGTAATTATTCCCTATAAATTATTGCAGTCTCAATCTGCTCATTGATACGTGACCTAAAGATGAACATACGTGATGATAAGTCAGAAAACTTACACGGTAGCAGCAGCCCGTCGCCGGCAAGATGAGCCTCCTGGTGGTGGATCGGAAGCCGGAACCTGGGCGGGACGCGTAGGTGACGTCGCCGCCAGGACGCACAGGGATCGGAGTCTCCTAGCCCTATTGATGCGAAGCCGCAGAGCTGCCAGGACGCCGCCGCGGGATGAGTCCGTGCTTCCTTCACGCGCGAGGAACAGGTCCGAGCCTCCGAGCCGATGGGAATCAGCCGGTAGTTACGTGACATGGCATCTTTTCAATATACCACATGATAAACAGAAATGCTATACAATACATATGTGTTTTAGCGTAAAAAAACACATAGGTTTTTTTATCCCTCACTCCCTCCCTCTTTTGTCACGCCCCGTCCCCCACTGAACCGTGTCGCCCACGCCTCCATGGCCGGGGCTCGAGCGGAGCCGCCAATTGTGGACGGTGGCGCGAGTGATGTCACCGTGCTCTTGGACCAAACCGTGCCTTTCTGCCAACCCTGCCACTCTTGGATGATGGCCTTGTCGTTGATAGCCCCTGCTCGCTGAGCCTGTCGTAGGTCCAGTTCCAGTCTTTCAGAGCGACGCGTCCCTGAGCCTGCGCATGTCGTGGCGGTGACACATGTGTTTTACCGATCTGTCTTTTTCTCCTTGCATAGAAAAAAATTGTTTATTGTAATATATGGATATGTGATCTTGTGATTTATGATTGTCTGGAGTTAGAAGAAGACTAGAGATAAAAGGAGGCTAGAGGTAGAAGGAGGATAGAGGCTGTTGGATCTTAATTCTTTGATGAAAAAAATTTATGTATTGAAATTGCATAAAACACATGGTTGTTGGGTAGGTAGACTCACGACAAATAGCCAGTCTCTTGTGGAACTCTTCTTTTTTTTTGAGAAGTTTTGTATTTTATAAAATAGCTAAACTATAAGATTTAGCTACTAGTTTTATCTTATCTGTTGAAGATGCTCTTAATGAATTCTCCAAGTTGCCCGTGTTCGATTCCAACAACTCGAACTGTATCTCACTGTGCAAACGAAAGGGATGTTATTGTGTTCTCCAACTTCCCTGTTCGGTTCCAACAACTCGAACTTGCACCTGGATTGAACAAAAAAACTGTACTTTTTTTTGAAGTTAGAATATTACTCTCTCTTTTTTTTAAAACCAATTAGCTCTTTGGCAGATTATATTCAAGCTGTTCGGTTGATGGTTTTTACGGCTGATAAGCCGGCTGAAGCTGATTTGTTGTGAGAAAAAAATATTGTTTCATGGTTAATAAACTAGGCTGATAAATTCAAGCAAACAGGAAAAGAACCCAAACTAGGTAAACACCACATCAACGATGACTCTAAATGGTGGTATATAACAACAGCAACTAAAGACAACACATCTGCACTAACAATTGAGGACAACTATCTTAAATATCGACGACAACGGTCTGTTGAACTAGAACCTCAACATGCGCCGCAAAACACCAACGCATTGACTACTCCACACGAGCAAAGACAAACGCTCCACAAACATTGACTACTCCACACGAACAAAAACAAACGCTCCACAAGCAGCTTACTCTCGGAAGCCCCATGCAGGAACATCCATTAGACGTCAATGTAGCAAGTCAGCAAGTCGACACACCATCGTCACCGCCTACGCCATAGTTGTCGATGAAGTCTCACACCGAGCCAACCGATGCCATGCAAGGCTAACCGTCATGCCCCCTGCAAACCATGTAGTCATCTTGCCGTCGCCTCCGTTTCGCCGTCTATCAACGCCGCCCCACACCAGACTAACCCTTGCCATGCAAGGGTAGCCACAGCGGTCCACTGCAAGCTATCAAGCAGATACACGAGCAACTGCCTCTGGTTGGCCAAGCCGACAGCCACCACCAAGATCGGCTCACATTGCAGCTCCTACCAACCAGGCCACCTCATCAAACACAGTAGAATATCAAGTATTGCCTCTAGCTGCCATCAGACACCACGCCGGACACCATGTCAAAGCACTTATGCTGGCCCACCTCCTTCCTCGCCAACTTTGTGGACACTCGTCGCCCAAACAACAACCACACAGACGCCAAGCCCTACTACGCCTATGACCTTGGCTGTCTTCCACCACCTATGACACTTGCAGCTCGAGTCTACGACTGGTCCTCCACAGCCTCCTGGCCACTATCAATGTTTCGCCACCACTGCCAGTCTGCCACGTGAAGGACCCCGCTGTGCCACCACGCAGCTTCCACATGTGCATGCCACCACGCCATGCAAGAGTAGCCACACCATCATCATTGTTGTGCTAGCACCACTTCGCAACACTTGCAACCTCCGCACCATCGTGCCGGTGTCAAACATCCTCCGTACCACCGAGGTGCCACCTCCACCACCGCAGCCCACGAGCGACCAAAAGTCGCCGCGACATCTCCCCTCTGCGGCTCTGTCGTTGCACACGTGCGGCCTCCATGTCACCATCCGTTGCTGCCCACGCCGTCGTTGTGCACGCGCCACGCGTGACCTCCTCGCCACTACCACCGTGTGCCACAAGGGCCGTAGTCACCTGCGCCGTCCTCGTGCCATCCCTCCGCCACAGCTGCAGGCCCCACCCGTCACACGATCGCAGTTGGGCTGGTATGGCCAAATCCAAGCGCTGGCTCACCATATTTGACCTCCATTGCAAGGAATGGAGTCATCGCACTACTGCAGTTGTCGATTCCTTGTTGTCCTCGCTGATTCTTCCAGTGCTGCCACCGCCGATGTGGAAGATACAAACGGATAAAGGCTCCAGTTCACCAGATCCGCCCTCCCCCGGCGAGGATCAGGCTTTGACCCGCCTTTGTCGTCTTCCTAGACATTGGGGACCTCGAGCACACCTAGAGACAGGACGAGGCGAAAGAACGGGAAGGTGGCGAGGTGGCTGGAGGAGACAACAGGTCGCCGGCTGGATCGCTCCTGACAAGAGTGACGTGGGGGCTCGTTATAAGCTCAAATACAAATCACTAGTTCCATTCCAATGTCTGCTCTGTTTCTATATTTCTAATTCTATCTATA